CGGGCCTCTGCCAACCGTAGATGGTCGTAGTAAGGACTTACATGTACATGTAGGTCACTGTTTCCGAACACAGCGTCCTCCACCTTGTTTCATGCTGTCAAACTAACAACATGTGTGAATTATAACAAGGTTTATCTAATACTAGCATTGAACTACAGTAAAACCTGTCAAGGCGACCACTCTGATAAGGCGACCACCTGTCCCAGAAGACCACTGGAACCAGGATCAAGGGAGGCTATTTCCAGTAAAATGACCCTGGATAAGGAGACCACCTGGTAACAGAGACCGTGTTTTGAAGGTCCCTTGAGCGGTCGTCTTGGACAGGTTTCACTGTGGTATTGGGTTATATACTACAGTAATACCATGATTGTACATGTAGGGTCAGCTATTTACGGCTATGAACTCGTACATCTTCGTACATCGTGATGCTCGTGGATTTACTGTTTGTGCTTTGATAAAGCTATTTACTAGTATGCGTGGACATGACGCTAACTTAGAACAGTCACAATCAGGTACCATACATGGCATGGTGTAAGTCTAGGTTACAGCATAGCACTACACGGTGACGAGTACACAGGCAAAGGCCGAGATACCGACCGTGCGCGTGGTTCTAAGAAGACCTGACCTACTCTACGCCTCGAACGCCTACTTCGCCAGCCTCTCAGCAAGCCTCAAACAGACCCTCATCAGACTGGATAAGCGCTGCATCACAACCCAGCCCTCGCGTGCCCACACTATGCAGCTGTATGCCCAACTCGGCATTTGTCCGGCTGTCGAGCGGGCGGATTGCAAGTTGCGGCTTCTCGTACACCGCATACTTCACGGCAATGTCAGTTTGCTGCTCAAATCACGCCTGGAATACAGTTCACTGCCCCGTACCACTGCCACCAGAGGTCAGGATGCCTGCAATCTGCCCCTTCCCAACATCCGCAGTACTTCGGGATCTCACAGACCAGTTTTTGCTGCTGCTAAGTTGTGGAATCTTTTGCCCTCGTCCTTTAAGTCATGCCCTACCACATGCCGATTCAAGCGTTTATTGAAAGTTTACTTTCATGGCTAATGCTAGGATGTTCCCTATCCCGAGAGTTCTCCATACTCACTGTTTTCTTTACTCCACCTATCCAGGTTATCTTAGATTTTATCCGTTTGGGGATGATTGTCCTTGGATTTACAATGCATTCGTAAAACAAACACAGAATGGATGTACTTCGGAATTTCACAGCCTAGCATTCCCCTCTAGTTGGCCTGACCTAGCACATCTCAACTCTCACGTCCATTGAAAGTCTACTTTCATGACCAATGTTGATGATCTAAGGAGAGATTCCTAGACTCGCCGTTTTCTTCACTCCCCATAATCCAGGATAACTAATCTTGTCTAAATAACCGACGAGGAGACAACAGTCGTAAAATAGCAATGAAAAATATCAATTGTGCACTCATAATCATGTATAAACAATTAAAATGAAACAATTCCAGAACGTTTTCGTGTGACCATCATCAGTGGAACATCGTCACATAGTAAGAATCACTAAAACAACCAGTTATATAGCTAGAGTAACATGAAAAGAAGCGTGAGAATGCAGCACAGCTAGCGGTTATGCATAACGCGTGTAGTGTGAACCTTTGCAGTGTATCTGAGAATGGTAGCAGTAGATGAATGTGGCAGCTGTGAGTGCGTGTGAACAAAAACTGGTGAGTGCGTATTATTTTAAAAGTGTGAGTGCTACAACATTTTCTTTTTGCTTGCATAGAACAGGGTCACGTGTGCGAATATATACAGCTTCCAACACCTGCAACTGCTTAAAGAAACGCGCGCGACAAATAACACTAAACCAGGAATCGTCAAACAACTTACGACAATCCGGACTGGACACCAAATGCTTGTAGATGGCAGACTTGCTCTTGTCGATGTCGAACTCCTCCTCGTCCGTATCACTCTCATCCTCCACTTCCTGTTCCTGCTCACCCTTGCTTTCCCCCTGACCATCCTGTTCATCCCCATCATCATCCTCCATCTCCATCTCCTCATGCCATCGCTTCTTTCTCCTTGACGTGTTCACTGCTGCGCCCGTACTTTCACCTGCCACTACTGGTTCCGCCTTCTCCATTTTTCTCAGTCGTGTCTCCGCTAGTCTCTGGCTTCTCCTCAGATTCGTTTTTCCTCCATTTTCATTTCGTTCTCCTGGTGATCTTTCCGTTACCGCCGTCGGGTTTGTGAACGAACGATCGTCCGGTGGTCTCCCATGCCGTGTTGTTGTCGTCAAGAGTGACACCAGATTCGTGTGTTGCGCTACTACAAGCAAAAAGAAAATATTGTAGCACTCACACTTTTAAAATAATACGCACTCACCAGTTTTTGTTCACACGCACTCACAGCTGCCACATTCATCTACTGCTACCATTCTCAGATACACTGCAAAGGTTCACACTACACGCGTTATGCATAACCGCTAGCTGTGCTGCATTCTCACGCTTCTTTTCATGTTACTCTAGCTATATAACTGGTTGTTTTAGTGATTCTTACTATGTGACGATGTTCCACTGATGATGGTCACACGAAAACGTTCTTGAATTGTTTCATTTTAATTGTTTATACATGATTATGAGTGCACAATTGATATTTTTCATTGCTATTTTACAACTAATCTTGTTCTTAATCTTTCTCCCTTTCCATCGTCATCATAACATTGGGCATGATTGCCCGTTTGACTTGCGATGTAAAATAGAAGCAATACAAATACACCCCCCCGGAACCCGTGACGTCGGACTCGGCGATGTACGCAGTATGCCAGGCTGATGTGGTGCCGGGGTATTAACGGTGTTGTCGGCATAAACGGGGGTAAGCTTTAGTGTTGCCGGGATGAGGTGTTGCCGAGTACAGTACCGCCTACTACCGGGTAAAAACGGGTGACCGTGAGCTCATGAGGTACATGCTTATGTAGCCGCCAGCGTTAAAGGGGAAGTATACCCTAAAATCAAATTTTCACCAGTTGTAGTCTTCGGGGTGCTGAGTCGAATGGTCTTGGTCCGAGGAAGCTGAGACGCTCCCTTCCTCCTTTATTCCCAATCGAACTCGCGCACTTCCACCGAAACTGGGTGACTGCGCCCTACTAGATGGGGATTTGTATGCAAAATGTCACTAAAAGCGCCATTTCGTTCTTATAAAAGCACGGATGACCGCGATTGGCCCATATGTTGTAGTCTTTTGGACGCTGAGTCGACTGGTTTTGGTCCGAAAAGGCTGCGATGTAGCGTTCTTCCTTTATTCCCAATCGAACATGGTTGAACAAGCGGTCACGTGCTCCTGCGTACACCAGTCACCTGGTCACCGTGCCTGCACTGCAGGGTACAACTTACTAGCCTGTTTGACCTTTTTTGGGTGCAGTCCTGTCACTCGAGTTGAACCTTGGTGTGAAAGTTGTCGCCTGCTGGCGCGGTGACCAGGTGATTTGGGCACCCAGGAGCACGTGACCGCTTGTTCAACCATGTTCGATTGGGAATAAAGGAGGAACGCTGCATCGTAGCCTTTTCGGACCAAAACCAGTCGACTCAGCGTCCAAAAGACTACAACATATGGGCCAATCGCGGTCATCCGTGCTTTTATAAGAACGAAATGGCGCTTTTAGTGACATTTTGCATACAAATCCCCATCTAGTAGGGCGCAGTCACCCAGTTTCGGTGGAAGTGCGCGAGTTCGATTGGGATTCAAGTAGGAAGAGAGCGTCTCAGCTTCCTCGGACCAAGACCATTCGACTCAGCACCCAGAAGACTACAACTGGTGAAAATTTGATTTTAGGGTATACTTCCCCTTTAACAGAATGCTCAAAGCTGTTGTGTTTGCTTTATACATGTCCACTTAGGCATCGACAAAATAGCACGTTCTTGGTGTCGCTGGTCGCACACGTACGTCTCAACCCTGTACACGTCACCATGGTACACAATGCATGCTATAGCGCTCATATTCGTGATTAGCTCGTAGTACACTGTACAAAAATTGTCAGCTCCTGGCGGCACTAGTGACGTCTCATCCAGGGATTGTTTTCGGAAACAGTAGCGTTGCTTGATCACGGGTGATCTGTCTTCCTGCGTCCGGCTTGTTACAGTGTGTACGTCTTTCCAACACCTCGACACGTCGCGACTACTCTCAGTTGTGGAATGTGGAAACCGATCATACAGTTCATACTTCTCTCTCCACTCACCACTGGCACAACATCATCATAAGGTGTCGGAATCAGGACTTATACTTTTTAGTTATAGAGTATGTAATGAGTGCGCTCATGGCCACAATCCATCCGTGTTGTTTTTGTCCAATGACGCGCAGGGCTGTAGCATTGAGATTTCAGGTGTCCCAGCCAAAAGGCCATACATGTACGTACTTGGCCGGAATGAGCCAAGATAAAACAACCACCGTTTTGTTCGAAATATGGTCGCTAGTACGGTACTGTATATTCATGAGAGAGGGCACTACTTTCCACATTGGTGCATTCACGCAATCTAGCGAACTGCGATTTTGATCCTGAAACTACCAGTGCAATGACCATGATGACATAGACAAGAACATTAGCACAGTTCTTGATTACAAGCCGGGGGGGGCGGGGCCGGGGGGGGGGTACTACTAGTATTCACTGACAAGAGAACTCGAACTTCGAACAAAAAGGAGAGGTTGGGGTGTGGATTTTGTTAATTTGTAACTCCCTCCCCATTTCGCAGCCTTGAGTCGGACTGTTGTCTCTTGACGACAACCTGTACCGTGCACACGGCACCAGACGCTGCCTGACCGACCTGGGCCACACCTTGACACTTTTGACAGTTGACTCTTCAGCTCCACTGACTCGCAAAATGGCGTATAATTTTGCGATGTATTGACAGGTAGATCAGCATAAAAATGGTGACAATGTCAATTACAATGGTGATATCACTTATTATCAGCCCAACGCCGGGCCAGTAGACTGTAGTGCAGAGTGTATAGTAGTCTTCGCTCCGGGGCGGTCACACAAAATTTACGTGAGCTCAATGCGTGTACATGTATTCTCTGTTCACGCTAAAGTGAAGGCGTGGGGTAACATCGGTGGCGGAGTGGAGGAAGAGGTTGAGATATCATCCTCCTCGCCATTCAATGGTGTAACTATACTCCGGCTTTAGACACAGTGTGCGTGGACCGTGAAGGAAGGGAGTGGTCTCGGAGTGTAGCACACCTCGGCTCCGCACGGTGCGGCGGAGGGACCAGGGCGCAGAGATGAGCGTCTTTCGCAAGAAGAAGCAGGGCTGTGTCAACTTCTACACGGGACACCAGGAGCTGGCCATCGATTTCAAACCAGGTGTTGCTGTGAAGGTGAGAATCTTGTCATGGTTCAGGTAAACAGTGCAACCCGCCATGCGTCATAATGACTGTGTGAACTAAGCGGCCCGGCGCGCGCGCGCGTAGCTCATGAAAACAGAACTACGAAGAGGTGAAGAGGCCCACAGATGGGAGAATGGGCACAGCGTGTGAAAATGGCGCGTTTGCCCAGCAAACCATGCATGGTGAACATGGTGAACCTTTCCACCGAATACCCTTCGCCTTTGCTACATTACACCGTGTTGTCGTCGGTCCTTGACTCCTTGGCGCGAAGTTCTTCACTGCGCGCCGGTTTGGCCAACAAGCAAAAATAGAAGGGCAATCGTCCTAATTAGTTGGTCTTACATTTCATGGACGCCGGTTGTCGCAGGAAGGACGATAATTATTTGGCCTGTTTTCAATGGTACTGTACTTGCGCTCAGAAGCGGAAGGTAAAATGTGTTCTCACGCTGTGGCATCTGAAGTAGGCCTGGTTTTTGTCTGGGGGTTTGTTTCCCTCTGTGTCGTAACTACGCTCACCTGCTCCTGTTTCTCTGTCCTTGTCAAGCCGCGGCTGCCGCGCAGACTAGCCATTACTCTAGCACAGCTGCCTGCCTCGTATCACGCACCGTGCAGAAACCTCCCTAAGCGCGTGTCTGTGAAAATAGCACCGCTTCAGCCGCGGATAGTGTGTTGCGCGGAGGACACTCCTTTCATCCAACCGTTTCAGCCCCAAACTAGACCAGTACAGTAGAAGATCTTGGAAGCGAACGAAAGACCAAAAATGGCGTGGCTCATCAAGCTTGCTAGCTTTGCTGAGTAAGTCGTCCAGTCGCCACTGAAGCCGGTACCTGTAACAAGCCGACGACTGACTAAGACTGATTACAGCACTTTTGTAGCAATAATTATCATCTCTGCTGCAGAAGCGACCAAAGCCAAGCTGTTTGTTTTCACTAGCTTACCAAACTCATGCATAATCATCATGCTGCGCGGGCACAGTGCTCTTCCCATGCTTCTACTAGTATTAAATTTTGTTGACCACGAATGAATGACGCCTTTGCAGGGTTCCCAGCCCGCTCTGAGGTCGCTCAGCCTCAGGTATGCCAACAGATGAAACTATGTACTTGTCCTGGTACCAGTTGTACATGTACAATGACTTGTATTTGTACCGCAGCGGATCAGCCTTGTGCTTACGCGTGTGACATGTGCTGCTGACTCTGCTGCAGTATAGTGTGCATGGTGTGCACTTGCTGGTCTCATGTACGTCGTTGTTTTCCTACATTCATGTGACTGCAGTCAATCCTCGATGCTGCACTCAATTACATCAAGGTAGCACCGGCGGCGCGAATCTTCTTCTGCTTGGCGTACGAGAAGGACCAGGTCTTTCACAGCCTGTGCCCGTTCCGAACATTGGACCGCAGTGAGGCTCCGCTGCAGCTATGGCTGCGCATTCATCTCCGTCACAAGAATGCCGTGGAGCTTCAGAGAGTGGATGCAATAGCGTTCGACTACTACTTCATACAGGTGATTATGCCACCCTGTGGCCGTGTTGATGTTATCATATCTGCATATGCGTACACACATGCGCGCGCACACACACACACACACACACACACACGCACGCACGCACGCTGTGCTGAGGTACAATAGTGCAATGTGGCTCTCAGACACCGTGTGCTCTTGCAATCAGAATTGACAGTAGACTATACCTGTACCTTCTTACCCCCCCCCCCCCCCGCCCTCTTTCTTTCTCTCTCTCTCACACACACACACACACACACCACCACCACCATGTATACGCCCGTCGCAAGAGAAGCACGCAAATCTGCAAATGCACTGGATGTGCACCCACGGATTTCTCTTATAGCAACGATAGCGAAAAAGATCGGAATGAGACAGATCAAGACTTGCGCCAGATAACTGTCACGCACACACACACACACACACACACACACACACACACACACACACAGCACACACACACACACACAGCACATGTGGTGAGTATACCGTATTTTACCGGTTGTAAGTCGACCCCGGTTATTAGTCGACCCCCCTATCTGGAGGTCTCAATTCTGCGTTTTAAAGTTTTCACCCAAAGAAGCACTACTAACCACCTCCTGCTACTAACACCTCAACAAATCATGTAAACATTCCTTATTGGAGGATATAACGTCCCAATCCTTGAAAAAGGACAATAAACTGGCAAAAATGTGTAAACATGGTGCACTCGTACATGCAGTGCAGGTCTTGTTTTGTAAGATACTGATAGTTCCCGGTTATAAGTCGAATCCCGGTTGTAAGTCGACCCCCACCCTTTCTCCTTCTATTTTAAGTCGTAAAAGGTCGACTTACAACCGGAAAAATACGGTAACTGTGTATTTCACCGATATTCACCCTTGATTGCTTATCACGCTGGTGTGCATTCCCACTCGATCAAAACTGCTTTGCTGATAGAATGGTTGACTGCATAAAAGAATGAGGTGCACGTGCTTCGCAGATGGCCATGAGGATATTTGTGCTTAGCATCATCATAATTGTTCTCTTCTATCTATCTGTCCATCTGTCTGTCTGTCTATCTGTCTATCTGTCTTTCTGTCTTTCTGTGTGTGTGTGTGTGTGTGTGTGTGTGTGTGTGTGTGTGTGTGTGTGTGTGTGTGTGTGTGTGTGTGTGTCTCTGTCTCTCTGCACATGCTTGTCTCTTTTCTCTGTGTGTGTTTGTTGTTGTGCAAAGTGTAAATGGGACTTTGTAGCTGACCTCTTCCCCATGGTGTCCCGGGATAACCAGTTACGACTGGCATGCCTCGACATTGCCGTGGCAATGAAGTCACTTGGCATTGACTTTGACAGTGCAATGTAAGTATACAGTGGATATGTACTGGATATGTATACTGAGCTGTCTGCACTGTACGTGTGGGCTTTGTGGAAGTACATGTACTAGATTACATGTATCCCGACCATGTGTGACTTCTGTTCACACGGTAGTTGAGTGGCATAGCCAATACACTACATTATCATCATCATGTGCAGTGTGGTGTTGAATGCCATCATCGAGTCACATTACGTGTTTGCTTTGTACGAGCTCACTGCACAGCCAGTGCATGTGGTGCTCCTGGGAGGAGGATTTGCTTTGGGGTTATGGTAGAGTGAGATAAGCGTGTCATACCAACGGTCTTCGCCCAGCATGAAGGCTAACCTTGACATTCACCTCGGCTTGTCACAGTTTGCTCATCAATGTTGTGTTGCTTCCTTCGGTGCAGAAAATCCGGTTTGGAGCAATTTGTGCCGCCATCATTCCTCAGCTTGTACAAAACTAAAGAGGTGAAACGTGTTCTGTTGGAGAGTCTGGGTAACTTTGCATCGCTGCAACCCAATGCCTGCAAGGTGCACTACGTGGAGATCCTGGAAGCCACATCAGGCTTCTCAGCGCATGGCTTCAAGGCAAGCAAGGTATGATCAGATTGACATCCAGGAATCCCGGTGGCCATGATCAGTAACAACATTGTCAGTGATAGAGCCGAGCAATGCTAACAAATAGTCCAATACAGTTTTAAATACACACAGATGAGAGGTTGTATGGGTTATTGAGTATATGTATGCCAGTGCATTGGAGACTAGGCTGGGTTACTGCAATAACACTATAAATTGTGTAATCACGATGGTGGAAACATACATGGATGAACTGCCATGAGGATACATCACTCACTCGTACAGGCAAGCGAGTCTCTTCCCCGAATGAATGGTTTAAGCTGTGTACCTGCCTACATGTACTGTAAATATACAAAATTTCGGCACTTCACACAATTTTTGACATTTCGGCGGCGATTTATTTTCGGCGTGGGGTAGCCTGGGCATGGTATAGTGCGACAGATGCTGTGAAAAATTTCATCGGCGTTTTAATTTAGGCGTTTTGGGTCGGTGCCGAATATAGCCGAAATTAAATAGCTGCCGAAAATTTGTATATTTACAGCACATGTATATGGGCATGTTTAAAACCTGCATACTCATCATTGTGATTGGTTTGCGTGCCGTGCAGGACGTGCTGACCCATGCCGGCAAAACCATACAGGAGCCAGTGGAGGTTTGGATCATGCCAGGCCAAGGTATTCTAGAGCTATCGGCAGCTGTTGGCGCCACGGACAGGGTAAGTACTTGTAGTGCAGCCAGCTTGAATTAAAAAGGCTTGCATAGTCCCGTCGCTGCACAAATTGAGCTGCGTTTATTTATGTGCAGGCACTTTTATAGGCAATATCTGCTCTTTACCTGGATGAGAAATCTGTCTAGCTAGGGAATGTCTTTTGGCGACTGGAGGTGCTGCTTCCATATACTCCTCTTGTATAATATGTATGGTCACAATGCTCTCCTCCTGGAGAGAACTGTGTTCTTCGTTAGCAAGAATATTGTAAGTACCGTATTCTCCGTAGTGTAAGCCTCACCCCAACACCGCAACACTCAACATTTACCCAGAAAAAAAGCCAGTGCGGCGTATACTCCGGAGTAGAATGAACGGGGCGGAGTAAAGTGCGGTAGCCTACGTAACTGGCAAAAAATACAATGGTGATGATGACAGCGATGATAATGGTGGCTACAAGAGTGAAGGTGACGAGTACGACGATGCTGGCTATCAGACGCCGCCGTGAAAAGCATGGCTATGGGTATATTCTACTCATTCAACCGGCATTTTTCAAAGACCCACATCGATCTGAAGAAAGATGGCCTTATCACATGCACACACACACACGCACACACGCGCGCGCGCGCACACACACACACGCACACACGCGCGCGCACACACACACACACCACGTACACACACACATGCACACGTACACACACACACACAAACAGGAGGTGCGGCTTGTACTCCGGAAAATATACGTTAGCAATAAGAGAGAGGTTCCTGCATGTGACACATCCCTGTGTTTTATGCAGTGAGTGGCACAGAATGCTGTTGCAGCTATCATGATTGCCCCCATCTTGTTTACCGATGTAATTCCTGTGTCATGTGGTCCCCTATCTTTTGCTCTGGGTTACAGAGGCTGGTGTCAGACTGGGGAAGTCTAGCTGGTGTCAATATAGTGTCTACGAGTAAAGGTGGTTCTGTCATGCAGATCACTGTGCTTGGTAGTCGCAATGAGGTAGGTCAATGTCACAGTGTAGCTCAACACAATGTCAATCCTGCTTGCCTCGGTATTCTGTTTGCGTGTGTGTGCGTGTGTGTGCGCGCGTGTGTGTTTGTGTTTGTGTGTGTGTGTGTGTGCATGTGTGTGTGCGTATTTGTGAGCATTCGAATGGCGATACCCTCAGGTTCCATCACATCCTACTCTGTGAATTGTAAGATGTTTATTTATTTTTTATTGATCGCATTTCCACGTCAATGTCAGCAATTTCCAAAGGATAAATGCCCACAGATTCGCATATGCTGAATGGATACGGGAAAGGGACAGGCAACAATAGAGAACACGACAAGAGTCAAGAAAAACATACCTATAGCTAGCACGAAGCACGATATGCATGCATGCAGAACCAATCGAGGCCCGAGAGGCATACTCTGTAGTCTCTATCAACAGAGTATCATTACAAACGACAGTTTTAAACGGACAAACAAATGCCCGGGCGAAAGATTGTTGCACTGTGTGTGCCGGAACAACGACGGAGTTCACAGAACTATGTCCTCTCTGATGTTAGCCGCAGACGGAGCGGCACAAGGCAGCCTACTGTCAAGCCCACGCGACAAGTTTCTGAGGGAGTGCAGGCCAGACAAGTCTGTGATGCCTTGCCTCCCTACACACCGGAGGTCCCACGACAGGACAACCGGCAGTGTCGTGCGTGGTATGCGACGCCAACGAGAAGCTTGCACGTGGAAATAACTCTCTATTGCTATAACAGCTGGATATCTGTCTGGCAGACGTAGTACGTGCCCGAACAGCCTCCACCGTGCTGCTTTTATGATCTGGCTGATCAGGTGCGCTGCACATCGTTTGTAGAGAGCGCTGCTATTGACTTTTCGTGGCCAGCTGATTCCAAGGAGGTTTCGGAGCTGCCTGCGGTGGAACGAGTCCAGCCGAGCTTCATGTGTGGCTGTAAGCGCCCATGTGCCACAATTGTAGAGCAGGACCGGCAGCACGAATGCGTTGTAGAGACGGATCCTTAGGTTTATCAGACAATGTCATGATATGTTCAGCTAGACTAGGTCGGTGAATGAGTGGGGTATCATTCATTTTCTCGGCGATAATAGAATCTATGGCTCGTGGTAAGTCGGCAATAGCTGCGTTAAGGTTCTTATGTGCCTCGTTGAAGAGGTCCTGGTGGCGAGCTACTTCTATCTCAAGCACTTTTAGGTTAGTATCGGCTGCTATTTGAGCCAATTTCTCATCGAATGGTTCGTGACCGGTTTTCCTAGGCCTGTACCGGAGAGCGTTGTGGGGTGTTTTAGCACTACAGCGTACTTGTTCATCGAGTAGGTTAGCTCCAGCTATTTGCAGATTTGTTTTGTGGTCTCGCAGCTTTTTAAGGGCCGGCCAAAAAAAGGATTGATACTTCTTCCACACTATTTCTGTGGGGAGTAGAGTTTCCATCGCCTGTATGCCTTAAGTGTTCACTGATGTCCTTACGCTTCCAAGGGCTAAACATGGATTGGAATGCTCTAGCAGCCAGCTGTTTTCGTCTTGTGACATCTTCATCGTCGCCCATGATGGACCCCAAGTTCTTCGTCATTCTCCACTGCTCTGCCACACGATCGGTTTGGCGGAAGAGCTTCATTGACAAACAGATTCCAATCCTTTAGTACTTTCGCAGCTATTGGCTCCAACAGGGTTTTAACCATTCGCAGGATATACTGACAAAGTCAGTGTCGTCAATGCAAAGGAACACAATTTAGGAAGTAAAGTAGGATTAAAATAATGACAGAAGAGCGGGACCGTGCAAAGGAGTGGGTTACAAGCTTGTTTCGTTATCTCTATGATACCTCTATGATAGCTCTATGATAGCTCTATGATATCTCTATAAGTACAGACGTTATCATGCTAGACCTACAAAACGAACAAAGTAATACAGACGTTATCATGCTAGACCTACAAAACGAACAAAGTAATACAGACGTTATCATGCTAGACCTAAAAATTCGTATCCTCGATAATAAAATACCCTCTACACTCAATTTCAAAACTACTAACAAATTTCAATACATCTCGCCACGATCTGCGAACCCTAACCACACTTGGAAAGCGGTGGCTTGGGGCGAGATTTTGGGTAAAAGTGATGCCTGCTCCTTGGATTTCCTTGTTTTCTCAGTTACACGTTCAGCACGATAAATCGCACAGAACTAGACCGCTTCACTGAAAATATCACTGGACTTCAATGTGGATCGCCATGATTTGGAAGTACCCGGACACATGTTTGTGAAAACCAGTGTTGAGAAACCGACCATTGCAGTTTTGTAAGGAAAAAATTGGAGGCGTATCCAATTTCGAAAGAAAAGGTGACAGCACCGAGGCAATCCACATGGTCAAGTAAACCAATTTGGTAACCGAACGGTTTCGCTCCCTTCTCATCATGGGTAAGTACAGGGAATAATGGAAAAATGTCAAAATACAGCAATTTATTATTATGCTGTATTTTGACATTTTTCCATTATTCCCTGTACTTACCCATGATGAGAAGGGAGCGAAAACGTTCGGTTACCAAATGTGGATTGCATCGGTGCTGTCGCCTTTTCTTTCGACATTACAGTTTTATGAAACAATGCACGGGAAGTGGGTGAAACACTTGTTTTCCGGAGCGAAATGGAAGGGGGACTACTTGAAACAAATCTTATAGGGACAAATAAAAGTGAAAGAAGGGGAAAAAGAGCGAAACAAAACGGTGATTATACTACATGATTGTATTCTTTTGTTGTGTGCTTTGCGATCATCGTTTCACATGTCGACATTTAGGAAATGCTTACAGTGCAATTAGTCGTCCGTGTTGCTATATTAACCCTTTGAGAACGAAGGACGAATATATCCGTTTTTTAAGGTATAGCTGGATTCCTAAAGACGAGTATATCCGTTTTTGAGAAAATTGCGATATCGATATATTTTTAGGTGCTTGAAGTCGCTCATATGTTGCTCAGACGAGTACGATCTGATTCTTCGTCAATGTGAGGCATGTCGCAGTCGATCCGCGTCGGTCCCGTGGAGAACCGGCCACATTTGAGTATACTCAGAGAATGCGACTTGTTACTTTGTTGAGAGTGCCGATGACACGTAACCTGTCAAGTGTCTCCTTGTCTGAGGCCCTCGGCATTATCTTTATGAGCAGCGATAGTGAGGATGAACAGTGTGATCCTTTTTTACTTTTCTGAGGATGACAGCTGATGTCAATGTCTCTTTAGAATCAAACTTTAGGTCACTATATCAATTTTTGAAAATCCCGATTTTTGGAGAAAATCGCAACATACACCTATTTTGAATTGACCATTCTGACCTCTATAATGGATATATGATGTAGAAACTTTGGTTTTTGTTGCCTACTGACGTCTACGTCTCTTTAGAACCAAATTTTATGACACTAGATCAATTTTAGAAAATACCGATTTTTCGCCTGAAAATGGTAGGAATCCAGGTGGTTTTGGGTAGTCCTCAAATGGCTGTCTTTGAAACGCTTTTTGTTTGTTTTTTGTTTTGTTTTTGATGCAAGGGTATGCCCCCCCCCCACGCCCCATCTGCGCATGCCCCTGGGCATAGCTTTCAATTAGGTAACACATGTATCAAGCATAGCTGGTGGTTTGCATAAAACGCAGCATATTGGATGCTGGGACACCTGCATCCAGTCCATTGTGTGTGCAAATACAGATACATGTATTAGTTGTCTGGTGATTGCCGAAGGGCAATAGTGACAATGAAGACGAGGTGTAGTACTCTATAACACATGTGTATGTTGGAGCATTTATGTTATTTGTTCCCATCTCACAATGATCAGAGAACACAGTCATGTTGGTTCCTTGTCTGCTGCTGTGTTTATTGCTATTTGACAGGCATACACATTTGATGTTCCGAGAGCGGCGGAGACATGTGCTGTGCTGATGGATGCGTATTACCGCCTGCTTGCCAATCCAGCAAATTGTGTTCTGCAGGGCCTACTGGCCCCGGTTCCGAACTCCTTCAAGCCTGATTTACGTAAGTCGACAAAATACATGTATGGAAACAAGGGGCTTCAAGGCAACAGTGGGGAGCATTGGTACGGATGAGGCGGTTGCATGGCTCATCCAGCCACTGGTCTCAAGGTCATGGCTGTACTGGCATACGAATCAGGGGGGGGGGGCAAAGTTCAGAGGGAGAAAGCAAAGAAACCCCTGAGTATAGAGGAGGTTGTGGCGGGGGAGAGGGTGAAGCTTGGTAATGATGATGGGCCAGGCCAGAAATTTTGGTGTATATTATTGATTTGAATCGCAGTAAAGAGGCCGTTTTTGGAGTTGAGGAATGAAGCTGTGTAGTAGCTGCGTTGGGAGTTTGCGGACTATAAGAACCGACTTAGCCATAGGGCAAAACAAATTTAAACAATGCCTTGTATTGAGCTAGTGGCTCACCATGGACCTATAGGGTGTACCGTATAGGGTAGCGTAATTGCATACCAACATACCGGCAGTGAACATTATACCGGGTCATACCGGCAGTAAACATTATACCGGGTATTATGTTAGCACACCAAACAACCTGGTCCTGCAGGTAGCAGGTACTGGTGTGGACGGTCTGGACCTAAGCTGTTGGTCGTTTTTGAAACTGGTACTTACAGGCCCAAACCATGAAGGTTTTGTGGTGCCTCTACACTGCAGCCTCTAGCTCCCTCTCACTGTCCTCCTTGCTCTAACCATAGTGATCTATAGTGCCGTCTACAAAATGGCTGATACCTGTACTATGTAAGAGTCTGTATGTGTTGAGCTCAGTTCCACCCTAAAACACTGCGGGGCACAAGGAAAACTTGGATCTACACCATCGTGGTGGTATTGGACAATTGTACACTCGGATGATGCTGGGAGGCATGTGCGTGTGAGAGCAAGGAAATGGGTGGTAACTGTTGATTGTGGTTGAACTTGATCTGCACATGAACCTACTCTGGAATGTCGCAGATAAGAACCAGGAGCCCAGCTAAGTTAGCTTAATCCTATTTCGGTATGCACTGTCTGCATGGTGGGCAACTTGTGCATCATCTACTTTGGTGTTGGGTTGCATCTCCTAATGTGTAACTGACTTCCTTGTCCTGTCCGACCTGCTCTGTCTGGATTCAATTTTGCAGCGAAGCAGAAGAGTGTTGTTCCTCGGTTCTTCACGCACGGACCGATTACGTAAGTACACTGGGGGATGACAGGGCTCCTGTACCGTAGTGTGCACTATACTGCTCCGACTGTTGTGTGTTGAGACAAGTTTTTTGCACTATACTGCTCCGACGGTTGTGTGTGGAGACACGTTTGGTTTATCTACCCTGATCTTTGTCACACCTCCACAGACGTGACCAGGCACTCAAGATCCTCCAGAAGGATGGCATGGCAGATGGACTGTACCTTGTTCGGGAAAATTCCAGAAACCCGGGCTGCTATGGCCTGTCGTTAGCGTACAAAGGAGATGCCAAGCACTACTTTATTGCCAAGAACGAAGACGCAAAGTATGCCATTGAAGGAGGTGTTGCTTGGTCGACCTTGCCCGATCTCCTGGAACACTACATGAAGAGTCGTGTGAGTGCCTCTGTGTTAAATTCTGTTAATGTGTTGCTTATTGGCACTACCTGTTCCTCACTTTCTTGGTGATGAGCTGTTGATGAACTATTACCCTCTGGCGTTGACTGAAGTCTATGTTTTCTCTCTCTCTCCCTGATCTTGGATGACCCATAGGATGGTCTATGCTGTCAGCTAGGAAAGATCGTCCTGCCAGCACAGCACAGTAAGTAACGTCCGTGGCACTTGATCACCGTACGTGGCGGTATTTTCTGTTAGAGGATTGAGTACAAAGTCACAGTCTAGCCACCCAGCACGTGTCATGGTATGATATCCATGTCACCAGTGTAACACACTGAAGGGGTGAAATGGGCTAGCTATTGACAAACAGCTGATGGTACCAGTAATGATGATATTTGTACCAAGAGAGTAAGTTAGTCGAAGCCTGACTGGGGAGAACAAACCCCAAAAGGGGCCTGAGCAGGTCAGCTACACACCATATTTGCGAAATGGCGAGGTGAAGGGAGGGGAGGGGATATGGCTGCTGCTAATTATCATACTACAACTTCATACAATGCCTCGTTTTTGGCCCATGTTGTTTTTCCCAGATGTTCTACCAAAACCACCATCAGAGCCAAGTACCCCAACCCAAGCTGCACCTCCGTCCCCCGCTATGCCGCTCGGCCCGTATGAAATTCCATTTGCAGCTCTAGATCTGCAGGTTGTTCTTGGACAGGTGAGAGAGCAGCTGTGCCTTCCCCCACACCTTCCCTGAACACACACACGTCCCTTGCCCGCCTTCCCTGTGACGCACAAGTCCCCCCCCCCCCCACCACTTCCCTGACCCCCCCATCTTTTCTAAAACACACACGTCCCTTCCAACCCTCCCCCCCCTCCATCTTCCCTGAAACACACATGCCCCCCCCCCCCCCACACACACACACACACTTCCCTGAAACACACATGTCCCCCCCCCCCACACACACACTTTCCTGAAACACACATGCCCCCCCCCCCCATACACACTTTCCTGAAACACACATGTCCTCCCCCCCCCCCCCCACACACACACACTTCCCTGAAACACACATGCCCCCCCCCCCACCCACACACACACTTTCCTGAAACACACATGTCCTCCCCCCCCCCCCCACACACACACTTCCCTGAAACACACATGTCCCCCCCCCCCCCACACACACACACACCTCCCTGAAACACACATGCCCCCCCCCCACACACACACTTCCCTGAAACACACATGTCCCCCCCCCACACACACACCTCCCTGAAACACACATGCCCCCCCCCCCCCCCCCCACACACACACTTCCCTGAAACACACATGTCCCCCCCCCCCCCCACACACACACTTCCCTGAAACACACATGTCCTCCCCCCCCCCCCCACACACACACTTCCCTGAAACACACATGTCCCCCCCCCCCCCCCACACACACACACTTCCCTGAAACACACATGTCCCCCCCCCCACACACACACACCTCCCTGAAACACACATGCCCCCCCCCCCCACACACACACTTCCCTGAAACACACATGTCCCCCCCCCCCACACACACACACCTCCCTGAAACACACATGCCCCCCACACACCTCCCTGAAACACACATGCCCCCCACACACACCTCCCTGAAACACACATGTCCCCCCCCCCCACACACACACCTCCCTGAAACACACATGATTTGAGAATGTCATAGCACAGTACTAGTATACTCTTGGACCAGGAGAATAGTATAAACTGCATGTAATGTAGACAGTAGTGCACTGATGTGTCTTTATGTGTGGATTGTGTGTGTGTGTGTGTGTGTGTGTGTGTGTGTGTGTGTGTGTGTATGTGTGTGTACATTGTATCATTGTGTGTGTGTGTGTGTGTGTGTGTGTGCGCGTGCGTGCATGCGTGTGTGTGTGCGCGTGTGCATTGAACTGGCAACAGGGTATGTTCGGCACCACTCACCTTGCACAATGGAAGAAATCCGCAACATCGCCCACACCATGCGTTGCCAAGTCCTTGCACAGTTTGATGCCGTTCCTACAGCATGTAAGTAGTATGTACTGCATGATAGAAGTAGTTAGGTTACTGCAAAAAATACACACTTTAAATATCATTATCAGTTACGACATCATGACAAGATCAATATTAACCTTTGCACACCGCTAAGTGGCAATATTCTGCTTGTCTGTGTGCTCCTACTGGCTGTGTGTTGCGCCGGACTACAGCACATTGCTGGTCAGGTACAGACGCTGTGCAAGCTAAAGAACAATGCAGTGTGCCAGCTGTTTGGTGTATGCCATAGCACTGGCTCGGAGATGACCATGCTGATCTACGAGAAAGTGAAGGACGGTGCACTGGATATTTATCTAAAGAGAGAAAGGTAACGGGCACAGTGCTGATGATGATGTGTGTGTGTGTGTGTGTGTGTGTGTGTGTGTGTGTGTGTGCGTGTGTGCGTGTGTGTGTGTGTGTGTGTGTGCGCGTGTGTGTGTGCATGGGATTGCCACTTGGGAAGTGCTTGTTACAGATAGATGCTTGCAGCCCTAACAGATACATATGGCAAGAAGATGAGCTTGCCATGAAATTGAATGCTACCAGCCAGTTCAGTTTTGATTCGCTTGTTCTTCCCCTTTGTCTGCAGTGGTTCACTGGCTAATGCTCCACAGCAACTAATCAAGTACTGTTATCAGATAGCTGATGGCATGGCATTTCTAGCTGGTGAAGTAAGCCTCTGTGTAATTGTATAGTTATAATACAGTGCATTGCTCTGCAAACACACAGCTAGGCAAATCCTCTGTTGCTGTCCACATCTTTGATCAGCAGATTCAACACTAAGAGCAGCCGACAGGGTTCAATTGAACTATTCTACCTTCGTGTACAGTGAAAACTCAAGGGACCGCTCAAGGGACCTCCAAAACGTGGCCTCTGTTACCAGGTGGTCTCCTTACCCCAGGGTCGCTTGACTGGAAGTAGCATCCCGTGGTCCTGGTTTCAGTGGTCTTCTGAGACAGGTGGTCACCTTAACAGAGTGGTCGCCGCTTGACAGGTTCTACTGTACAGTGCTAGGCGCTGCATATGCCGCTAGGGTTTACCGGGTGTTAGCGGCCGTCGTGAGTTCTCTTCGGGAACGGACACGATAATTTACTTTTTTCTTCTGTACAGTGCTTTCCTTCAAAACTTGTGCTATGGTATGCACTGTGTCGCAATGCGATCTATCTATCCCGCCCTTCTTCTTTGCACTGTGCAGGGTGTTGTTCACGGTGGGTTGAAGGCACACAGTGTGCTGGTGGCAAACCGTGACTCATTACGGCTCAGTGATGTTGGACTACTGCAACAGATCTCTAGTATGGACACCAATTACATGCTGACTGGTCCCGGAAAGTGAGTGACTTTACGCAACACTTCAGTGCTATAGGGAATGATGCTACTAAGTAAATTTGTTGTGCTCAACGGAATCTCTCCTTGGTACACTGCTTGAATTATGTAAATTGCAGGAAAACTCTAATTTCAGCAACCACCCATGGGACTGGCCGATCATAGTCTTTGAACACATGTGGTCTCTGAACGCACATTGTACACTCATCCTATAATTATCATAGAAACATGGGCACAGCGGCACCAGGTGATCACTTGACCAGGTTTTCATGTGTTCTGTAACTTCTGTTGCAATGGTCGCCATCTGTCAATACCGCAGTTCAAAGCAAGCCCCAACTGCGGTTACATAACATTGCCCCCCCCCCTCTAACCAGTTTTTGACTGGTGTGCTCTGCATGCAGGTCGCAAGTCCCATGGCTGTCTCCAGAGTGCCTGTCAGCCAAGCCACTCACCCTGCAGTCGGATGTGTACGCGTGTGGTATGACACTGTGGGAGGTGTTCACGCTAGGAGCACAGACACCGTTCATGGGAACTGCCGAGTCTGCAGTAAGGAAATCTTTCTTTATGACTGGCATGCAGGGTTCAAGGGTTTTTCAAGTGTGCTATTCTTAGACAAGGTAAACTTTATAGTCGTGTTCCTTGGATAATAACTTCCTTTCTTACACATCCACCATGAACTGGTTGCTGTAGTCTCCCTCAGGAGTCAGGAAATAGCTGCTTTATCATGACCTGGGCTCCAGCAGATGTTTTATAACCCAAGGTAATCTTCGCAATAAGTCGGCCTTTTGAAAGCGCATGTAACCCTGCTCTTGTGTGTTTCCTGTTTTCCCTACTCTCCATCTGCAGATAGCCAGTGCCATCCAGAAAGGACAGCGGCCACCTTCACCAGGGTAAGTGCCAGGCTAGGTTCACCAGCAGGCGGCTCTTACTGAGCAGGCTTCAGACTCAGTTCTCTCACATGTGACAACTTTTCCACTGCATGCCGCACATACATCCACAAGCGATCGGGGAGGTTCACTCACAACTGTTAAAGACGAAGGTGACTGAAGGTGCAAGCCAAGCCCTCATTTGCCAGTATTCTTGCTACCATATCCTTGCAGACCGCTGTGCTCCGACGAGGTGTTCAAGATCATTGGCCAGTGCTGGCAGGCATCAGCTGAGGTAAGTACAGAAATACACAATGCCAGTAGCCTACATATCTGTACAATCAGTCATGCCATGCCATTGGTCAAAGTACAGTAGTGTATCTGTTCAGATCTGGACATTGTCACCCCGGTGACTACGACACATGCAGGAACATGACTGCACTACATGTAGTAGGCTGTCTGCTGTAACCGCATCTCCAGGTGATCACATCCTGTACGAGATTTCCACGGAAATGAAAACGTGATTGGTGGCCTACACCATAGCTCAGTGGTTAGCAGCTCGGCGCATCACTGGCCTATATCGCCTTCTAACGTTCGTATATTGAAGGTCCCTGGTTTGAGTCCTGATGGTGACAGTCAATTTTATCTTTCTGTTGATACCTCGAACTTATGAATGACCTCTGGTACTAATATAACACAGATTTACAGGTTAGAAGGGACAAACCATTGGAAACTGATTATGTGCGAGATATGCGGGAACCTATTGAGTTCAGTTGTTCTTTTTTTTCCTGCGCTCGTGCTGTAGAGTCGGCCAACGATTGCATCTGTGCGCTCCCAGCTTCGAGACTGCGTGAAAGTACCAGGTGAGTGGTGTCAACACTTCTTTGAGCCAGCATACAATGACTGCCAGCATACAATGACTGTCCAGACCTTGCTAACATTAGCTTCAACTACAGTAAATTTCTAAGAATCCAATCATTGGGTGGCAGTATGCGTGTTGTACCCTCTTACTGTTCTTGCTATACTGTAGTCCATATGTACGCATGCTTGTACCTGTGTGTTACCTCAGAGCTTACGCGGCATACGTCCACACGCAGCCAGGTATGTACACTCTACACTGTACTGGGTGTCTGTGTGTCTATGTGTCTATGTGTCTGTGTGTCTGTGTGTCTATGTGCCTGTGTGTCTGTGTGTCTGTGTGTCTGTGTGCCTGTGTGTCTGTGTGAGCAATACAATAATGTACTAGTACATGCATACCGCTATTGTTCAGAGAGTCGGGTTTAATATGGAGCTGTTTTCTGGTGCTGAAGGTTGCAACTAATATGACTTACATTAAACTTACATAAGAGATGGCGGAGGCCATATCCGGCTGCCCGTGATCCGGCTGCCCATGATTTTCAAAATCGCACTTAGTGAATCAGCTGATTTCCGGCTGTTATGCTGTTTGCTCACTGTGGTTTGTAGGACTCGCCCAGGTCAACGGGATCAACAGGGTAAGTGGACTGATTGTTATGAGATCAATGGCGGTCTACAATTTTTACTGAACTCTATGCTATCGCCTTTTTCTTCTCCTTTTCTTTGATCACCAACAAATTTCTTGAAAATAAGAATTAATTTCAATTCACTGTGTGAATGGACTGTATGTATTATGTTCACAGATCACGACGCAACACGAGCAGCAGTCAAGTGTCAACAGACGCATCCACTGTTCTTGCTCAGGCGGACGTCATCAATGCTTCCGACCTTAAGTTCGGCCGAGATCTTGGCAAGGTAGGATTGTGTGCGTGCCTGAGTATTTGGATGTTTAAAATCAGCAAGGTTGTGCATGACAGGTGAACATAGTTCTTGGATTCAACAGGTCTGATTTTGCCTAGTCTGAAACTCCATTCACCAATCTCATGCTGCCTTGTACCTAATGTCTCTCTTCCAGGGTCAGTTTGGATTTGTCAAGCAAGCAGCTTGGCGGAGATCTGATGGATCTAAAGTGCAGGTATGTGCCAGTCTACTTGCGCTGTTGGCAATGTGCATACTACAGCCAATGTCACCAAGCATACTACAGCCAATGTCACCAAGCAAACGAGCCGTCAATGCAGGGAGTAGGTCTACAGAATCTCCCTTTCCTGACCAATATTGCCCACGAAGTAGCATAGACCAGGATGCTTGATGTGCGCGCGGTCGCGTGGGATGCCTTGGTAGACTATCTCTGTTCTCTCCCCATGCCTGTCCCTTGTGTTGTAGGTGGCAGTCAAGAGCCTGCATTCCTCCGCCACGCCCGAACAGCGACAAGAGTTCTTCCGAGAAGCAAAGACTATGATTGCACTGGACAATCCGCACATTGTGCGTCTTCTGGGCATTTGCACAGGTGAGATCGGCATGGTCTTTCAGTTAATCAAAAAAATTAATAACCATGTTGATATAATAAATTATCGTCTCCTGCTTGGCTCTATCATATCCTCTGTAATGCAATACGCCTGAATACGGGGAAAGTCTTCAACAGATGTTACACGGGATCGGTATTACTTGAAGTACTAGTACATGTATTGGCAAACATGTTGGGAATTTGCGACAAAAGCGCATCGAAGAATAATTGTAATGTAATGCTCTCTTGCTGTTCGCTGTCTTCCTTTACAGACAATGAACTGCTGCTGATTACAGAGCTTGTTCCGCTCGGAGCACTGAACTCCTACCTAACACAGGATAATGTGAGTTGTTGTTTTGCTCGTCTGTTCTGAAAGTTTTATCCACAGCCCACTGTCCCAATCTACCTTTTGAATTCACAGGTTTTGTATAAGAAGGTTGACTGCATGTATAGTTGTGCTCACTGAAATCTGACCCAAAGTGCAAAGCTGGCGTCCTGGACCAGTTCCCATTACATCATTGCATGTGTACATGTGTACGTCCAGCCGAATTTGTTCCAATTCCAGGGCGTCAAGGGCCGTGGAAGTTGAAGGCACCAGCTTTGCACATCATAATCATTGGATCGGATTTCAGTGAGCGCAACTGTAGCATTGAGTATTGAGTATGACCATCTATGGTGCATCTATGTTCGTCTTTGCTTCCAGGTGAAACGCTCTTGCAGAGCTCCCACACTGACCTCCTTTGCTCTGCAGATCGCCAAGGGAATGCAATTCCTGGTAAGTGCTGTGCTGCTTTGTGTTTGTATGCATGTACGTCTGCATGTACGCTTGCATGTCTGTATTGGTTGTCTATCATGCACTAAAGCATGAATATCAAAGGTCAACTCGACTGGACACATTGACAGTGAAATCTGTGGAATGGTTTCGTTGTGATTGGTGCACGGTGCTGCAGGAAAACAAACGCTTTGTTCACCGTGACCTGGCTGCCCGTAACATTCTGGTAGCCGATCCGCAGACGGTGAAAATCACCGACTTCGGACTGTCGCGTATGTTCAATGAGAGCGACTACTACACAGCTGGTGCAATGGGACTCTGGCCTGTAAAGTGGTAAGTTACGCACACACATGCAGACTGTACTGAGTTTTAGCAGGTGCTGTAGGGACGGAATGTCTTGTGACTCCCAATGGAAGAGCAAACCAGTATGTTTTCCGCACAGATCTCAACACCCGTAATCGTGCAGTGTCATTGCAGGTGCGTACGTATGTCGTATTACTTGCAAATTGAGGATTGGCATGTGACAGAGGCCTGTATGCATGTGAGTGCAGAACCCCTCACAGGTTATGCAAAGGATGTTACGGAGGTGAACTAGTGGATTCGCTACTTGAGCTAGTGCATCGCTGCGCTGCCGCCTTGCCAAAGCATTTCAGCTGATGATATACTGCGAAACCTCCATACATCAACCCAGTAATTCAATTGCATTGCCGTGCTCGGCGCGGCGATTAAGACACGGCTTTAGCCAGCATTACTAGTACAGTGCTGATCAATGAAATCTGATCACGTGAATCAAGTGCGCACCCTGCACCGGTTCACATCCCGGTGTTCGCAGGTCCAGGGCTGCACAGCGCCCGGCATGGCATTCACTCGCTTGATCGGATTTCATTGATCAGTACTGTAACTGGAGACTGCCTGCTGTCCTGCTGTCCTGCTCATTATGTTGACTGCTGTACATGTAGGTATGCACCGGAGTGCATGTACTACAAGAAGTTCACCAGCTCCAGTGATGTGTGGAGTTTCGGCGTTACCTGCTGGGAGCTATTCAGCTACGGACAGAAGCCATACAAGGGCAAGGGTGGACAGGAGGTAAGTGTCCAGGCACAATGCAGAGAAATGAAGAAAAGACACCAGTACATGTACTCGGAATTCAGTTTCTTTTACTCGCGCGAAAAATTACTTCGAAGTACATGCACCACCACAAGAACAACTCCAAAGAGTGATTCTTCCAATGCCTCGGGCATCTTCTCGTGGTGTTTTGCTACGCTTCAATTTACTCAATGGCTTGTGGTGATGCAGTTACATGAACTTGAGATCAGTTTTTCTTCCCTGTTTCATGACCGACCCTCTACTGTACTGTTTCAAACTCAACTGTCAGACAGGGTACTAGTAGACGTGGCTAATGGGACATTCAGTTCTTAATCACTTAGTGGTAGTTCTGATCTATTCGGTCTCTCTCTCGTCTCTCTCTCGTCTCTCTCTCGTCTCTCTCTCTCGGTCTCTCTCTCTCGGTCTCTCTTTTCATGACTGCTGTACTATTTCAGGTATTGGGACTGCTGGAGGAAGGTCATCGATTAGATCAGCCAGAAGAATGTCCTGCCAAAGTCTACGCTGTAATGCAGACCTGCTGGCAGTATAGACCGGATGATCGGCCAACGTTTGCACAACTTGCACAGCAACTGTCGCTTCTCTAAAACCACCCTAAACGCCGTACTGGCAAGTGAAAGATATCCTAGTAGATTCTTAGGTCGTAAAACCGACAGCCATGCCTGTTTCTGACCATATGAATGCTACCTGTGTGATGTTGCCAACTTGAAAATACCTAATCCATATCCTGCCCCCCCCCCCCTCCCCTTGCCCCTTTTATTGTTCTTACGCTTACTATGCAGTTGATCTGCTATGCTTTCAACATTTATTTGTAGAATATAAATAACAGTCGCCCCGGCACATCATCATACACGTGTCGTTATTGTGTGAAATTGAGAATGCTCTTCTGGCACCTCAATCCACATCTTTTTTTTTATTGGTGAAAATCTCTAATTTCTAGACAACGAAAGAAGAAAAGAACCTTGTTGTTGGTGCATTGTCACAGCTGGACTGTGTGCATACTTAATTACTTTAACTCAAAACTGTTTTGTGAAATTTACTATTTACTAAAGTAACATTTTCATTTTCACAATTTCAGACACTAGCTGGGAAAAGCAAGCGAAAAGCGGGGTTGTGGATTGGAAAAAAAAGTGCCACTGCCAGCAGTGGACACGGTAAACAGCGAACACAATATTGAAACTACGCCGATGATGCTGCACCAAGATTCTTTTCCCGGACTAGTTGCTGTAGCCTCTCCAACTCCCTGCAACAGATAATAAAAAAGCACCCAGTAAGCCACAGGTTGCAGAACTTGACCATTTCTACCCAGGGGCTCCCTCAAGTGTCGTGATGCACACAGCCTGAGCTTTTGCGTACCGCGGCCTCTTCCGGGTATAAAACTCCCTGGATACAACCCACCGGAAGGCAAACAATGTATTGATTGAAGCTGTACATGTACACAGTTTCTTTCTCCTATTTTTCGAAAAGACAATGGTCTCGACCTACCAACATATGACTACAAACAAGTAAACTTACCTTTTCTTCTCTTCAACATTGGCTTTGGCAGTTTCCAGGCGTTGCGCAATGCGGCGTGCTGCCACCAAAGCAGAGTCTTCTTCAGCGGCCCCATGGAACAAGCGAAGGTAGAGCTCACGCCACAGCTCCTAAGCACAAACACAAACACACGGAGCAGGATGGATCAGCCATAGACCAGGACAGGGGTATAGGAACAAGGCATAGAAGGTTTTATGTGACCTGCTTCAATGGTCATCATTTCTGCTTATTGCCCCCCCCCCCCCTCACACGATGTGAAATTCAAACTGTGTGAGAAAGTAACGAGCATGATGAGCACGCATACATACCGTCACGCCAGACAAGGTAAAGGTGGTCTGATCAAGGCTGGCCAAATTCACATGCAGGATGGCCAAGGGTGGACAGCAAGCCGGGGTTAGCACTTAGCAGAACCCACACACCACCACCACCTGACTATACATAGCTACGAGTAGTGTACTTACAATGCCTGTGGGAGCTGAAGAGGGAGAGAGCACACTTGCATTCTTGTAGTAGGCTGGATTGGTGAGCTCTGAAGAAACTTTCTCCTGGGAGAAGTGTGACCTATTTAGAGTGGCCAACAATAGAATATAGAAGACTATTTTAAAAACACTGCGAGACAGTAATTAGTCCTACTAGGTACTATTTACTGCAATCCCACATGCCACACTATACTATAAAAGCTCTTCCACACACTGCACATCACAGTGACAGTATGCATGTGTACAGCTATTCTGCATGTACATATTGAACTGTATGTACAAGCCCGATTCCATTGTGCTCATATCATGCGAAGAAAATTTCATATATCACCCGGGGGAAATCTGCCAAAAACAACGTATTTTCAATAGGGCTGAAACGATCATTCAATAACTCCTAACGATCAACCAATATCATTAACGATCGATATACTGTAGAGGCAGAAAATTTCGTCGGTCAATAATTTCGTCCAACTCCAAAGGAAAGGAGTTCGTCCGGTTGAAAATTTCGTCCATGGATCATAGGAGTGTATAGAAAAGCTGGACAAATCGTTATTCGTCCTACATTTAATTTAGTCCCAAAGCTCCTTGGACGAAAAAGACGAAATTAAATTCCAGACGAATATTTCTGCTTATACAGTATTGGTTTTATCGATTCTTGTCGGCTCTACTCGTGTACCTCGCACACCAGTTTATGAAGAAATTCCATGACGCGTTTGGTACATTAGAAATTTGTGGCACCGCACTGTTGACATCTGTGGAAATCTGGGTGGTTTTATCAACATGAACTAGAGAATTTCATGTTGTTTCTAGAGCAAAGAATCTTGTAATCACCCTCTGGCAACTGCTCTTATCTCCAACCTCTCACACAAATGAACCAAAAAGACAAAGTCTTCTCTCCCGATCTCTTTCAAAGCCACAAATCAATTTTACCGCGCTTGGAAGTACATGTTTGTACTCGTATTTACTGTGCAAGGGCTAGAATGCTGTCACTGATATGCATGCATAATAAATCGTTAGCGTTCGTTTTGAACACTAACGATTATCGATTGCACTCTTAACGATCGATATGCGAGTTATCGGTATAATTGTTTCAGCCCTAATTTTCAATTACTTGAAGTATTTCGGAATACAAGAACATGCGAGCACTGTGAACATGTTTGCGGCAGAGCATCGCTGGCCCATAGCGAAGGTCTCTGGTTCGAATCCTGGTGCTAAGTCTATTCTGTTTTCCTCGAATACATGCAGCACATTTTACATTTGTTTGCCTTCCAATACTGCACAGGGTTGTAGTCAGCTTGACATTGAAGAGGGGTGGGCAGCTGGGTTAGTTTGTGCATGCGTGCACAGTACACATCTGCATATTTCCTCATGGAGTACAGCATGGTAATGTAGGCCTATTGCCATTTCTTTCTCAGCTGTAGCAATGCACCAGCACAGTAGTCTAGTCTTTAGAGTCTACACGCATGCAATGCACCAGCACAGCAGGGAAATCTAGGGTTCTGATTAGTCAAGCCATGCACTGCACAGTGGCGCCTGTAATTCTGAAGCGGCTGCCAAAACTTGCAGAGGGACGCAGCACCACACTGTGTTGCTTAAGCTGCAGCCCTGCTACAGTTTAATGTCTTGGTCCACAGGGGGGCTGGGGCACAGAACATGTTCCCAGCTCAAATTCTCACGAAAATAAGAATCCCAGTGCAAGAAAAGTGGCTCTACAAGTGTCACACGACATACCATAGTGTGTGAGTCTTCTTGTTGACGTCCATTGCCTTGCGTTCACGTTCGCTGTTTCCCAAGAACGTTCCTGTACACACAGAATAATAGGACGAGGAAGACAACACATCACCACACTAGTACTGGATGCTTAGCTACATACTAAAGCGAGGAGAAGACAGAAGGTACCCGTGTGTCAGACGGTCTGCTTTAGGTTGTACTCAGTACCAATGGAAGGATGCTTGTCTGTGATGAATGGGAAATTCCAGAATGCTACCAAGCAAACCAATGCATCAGTTGCTGCCAAAGTGGCAGCCAAAAGCAATGGCCAGAAGCGGGTTCTGATCACCAACGTGATTTGTCTACGTGGTCAGTAGTGTTTCCCCGCTGCGTGGACATCGTGAGTCGTGACGCTGCCACTCATGCATAGTCGGAAACCAAACCTCCCATCATGTAACTGTCAGGGCTCTGATTAACTTCCGTATTGCCGCCGGCAAGTGATGTATCCGTATATACATCCCGCTCTCCATATGTGTATGCTACATTCTCTCGCACTCTCTACTGTTACACATATGTTACATGTACACTCAAACGCCTCTTATCCGGACGCCTCAGATACGGGCACGTCTCTCTACCGGGCACCTTTAGCTTGAGTTCCTATGGCAAAAATGCTTCGAATTTGGGGTTTTTGAACTTTTTCCGTATTCGGAAGTGCTTATTTTTCACTGCCAACCTATGTAATCCACACATTTTTACCAATGGGTTCCTTTTGTATCCTGAACATGTGCAATACGTTCCAAATAAACTTCTTCAAAAAGTGATATGATACATGGTAGATGAGTTATTCTGAGATACGGGCAAATCTGAGATACGGGCAGTGCCCGGTCCCAAGGTGCCCGGATAAGAGACGTCCGAGTGTACGTGCAACGAAGGCTGGCGTGCACGCAGTACGAAAATCTTCCTTGATTATGCTGACGACTTACATAAAGCTGGGTGGGTTTCTGTCACGAGTGCTATTTTTCAACTCCATTGGTCGCTAAAAACAGGCTGGGACCGTACAACGGGAACCCGTCATCACTTGATGCGGGTTTTCGCCGCCGGCGGACCCCATAGAAAGGGTATCAGGAGTTGAGCACTCTTGGAAGCTTTTGTACTCTTGATACTGTTTGTATGAGGTGGGTGCAATCAGCTGTATGCACTGCAGCTATAAAGACGTATGTGTATGTGCCCTACACACATTGGCAGTGGTTATACATTGTATCACCAGAGCTGTTACTTACCATACTCTGATGAGTAGGAGTGCTCGAACAGCTTCATAAGGAAACGATCGGTGAACTCAAATGAACACGGGTACTGTCGCATGACCTGCACACACAAACCACCAAGATGACAACGACAACAGCAACAGCAGCAGCAACAGCAACAGCAGCAGCAACAAAAACAACAACAACAACAACAACAACAACAACAACAACAACAACAACAACAACCAGTCGCAATTTGTTCCCACATGTCTTCACCACTCTAGTAGCTGTCAAAGAAGGCTGAATCACCACAAAAGTAACCTAACCCAGACTCAGATGAGCAAACCGTGGGTACCATGATGGTTTCAACTGACTTAAAGGGGCACTCCGGGAATTTTTTCGGTGGTGTGTTCTCTTCATGGGGGCCTTATATGGCCCCCAAAGGAATGGGGAATCGCGAAAACTAGACCCAAAAAGTCGATATATGAAGCCAGGGAGGGCCAAGTTTGTCTCCTCTTTTGATGGTTTTGATGACGTCACGTGTGATAAGCATTCAAATTCTGTGCATTTGAAGATCTTAGTTTTTTGAATTTTCTGGTGATGAAGAACGATGTTTGGTCAACATTCCCAAGCTTCACAACTGCGACCATACTCTAAGGAACCTGAAGGACCTCCTGAGGTGCCCCTGGTAGAAGCGCAGCCTGATGAGGGCCAGGAAATTGGAGCGGACGACTTCACTGGTCGACAAGGAAATAACGATTGGTGTTCCTGCCAGAAATGTGGGGTGATGCAGAGGGCAGTCGATTACCTTCGCTGTCGAGAGAGCGCTGCAGCTGTTAGCATTGACAGCCCTTTGACATGCGTTACACATCACCCCAACTTCGCGTCAGCTTGTCTAAGCAAAACTGTTCTGACCATATGCCTCACGGCGTATAGAGAATTTCGGGATCCTCGTACTCGGACCAGGGAAGTCGTCCGCTCCAATCTCCTGGCCCTCATCAGGCTGCGCTTCTACCAGGGGCACCTCAGGGGTCCTTCAGGTTCCTTAGAGTAGGTCCGCAGTTGTGAAGCTTGGGAATGTCGACCAAACATTGTTCTTCATCACCAGAAAATTCAAACAACTAAGATCTTCAAATGCACAGAATTTGAATACTAATCACACGTGACGTCATCAAAACCATCAAAAGAGGAGACAAACTTGGCCCTACCTGGCTTCGTATATCGACTTTTTGGGTCTAGTTTTCGCGATTCCCCATTCCTTGGGGCCATATAAGGCCCCAATGAAGAGAACACACCACCGAAAATATTCCCGGAGTGCCCCTTTAAAGCCAGCGGCTTTGGGTGACATGAACTATCTAAGACTTTTGACAGCAGTTGGAGCACAATCACACAGACATACTGCACTCAATTCCCAAAAACAAGTAACGTTACAAGGATATGTAAGTATCAACAGATGTTGACAACATACAGTCTTGCCCTATGAAGCCCAATCTCATGAGTAAGTTAGTGCCCTGCACCAGAGCACAGCCCAACGTCCACAGATTTGGGGTTGCACCGCACCTGGAAACAGTTGACTCATGGGATCGGATATCACTGGGCAGCACTGAAGTTCAGGCTTGGTCACAAGCCGTGTAGGCATAGTGTGGTGCAAAGTGGCTAAGAGCATAATCTCCATGCACACACACACACACACACACACACACACACACACACACACACACACACACACACACACACACACACACACACACACACACACACACACACACACACACACACACACACACACACTGACCTGAAACACCGCATCCAAGAACATGACAAACACGGGTGCTCTTTCGACTCGACTGGTCACCGATGTGTGACCACAGCGAAGAGAAAATGGGTGTCCGGGGAGAACCCACTCCCTTTCGATCAAATGCTGAAATCTGCAGAGAGAGAGAGAGAGAGAGAGAGAGAGAGAGAGAGAGAGAGAGAGAGAGAGAGAGAGAGAGAGAGAGAGAGAGAGAGAGAGAGAGAGAGAGAGAGAGAGAGAGAGAGAGAGAGAGAGAGAGAGAGAGAGAGAGAGAGAGAGAGAGAGAGAGAGAGAGAGAGAGAGAGATGGGAACAAGTACACAGGCATATATAGTGATGCTCAGGTCCTTCAGCCTGAATGACAAAGAACGGGTACATTATGAATCGTGATGACTAATGGTGGGGTTTCATTCTACTCAAACAGTCATGCACAAGCCTAAAAACCCCGGACTCAACAAACAATGTGTGTGTGAGTGATCAAAGCAGACAAGGTACAAATGGTACATGCACATACCCGACAAGCGTACGGCAATGCGGATCCAACAGGACCTGCGCGAGTGCGGTCACTTGAAGTGTGGTATCCCAGCCAGCAATGCCATGAACCAGCACACAGCCACCTGAACAACAAAAGTAGTACAAGACCAGCAGCTAAATTGAACGACATGTACCCTAATACACTAGTGGAATAAAGAGATCCAGACATAATGAACAGCCGGACTACTGTAGCAGAGATACTATTCAGCTCATGTGATATCAGCAGTGAAGATGCAATGCCTGTAATCTAATGCCTGCAATCTAATCTTGCACACAGGCTAATGAACTGACGCTAGTGTGTGGAGTTGAGCACAGGTTTGGCAGGTGTGTTGCATGTGCAATGCACAGTACTGCACCAATCATCACCTTCAACACAGTGAAAGGTTATCATTTAGTGATGGTGTACATTATACCCTCAGGAAGTGCAAGGCTACACCAAGGAATACGGCAGTACAGGTATCAGACAGATTAGAGCAAGACACACCAACAGACACCACCAGAAACACTGTGCAGCACAGTGTTGAGTGATCAGTGCATGGCCATGGCTACATCCAGGCAGTACTGCGAGAGTACACAAGATTGCGCCTTCTCACCTTCACTATCCATAGACTGCACAACCTGCTGTGCGGCTTGCAGTAGCTGCGCGATATGTGACAGCCAGCTACTGCTGGACACACGACCAAGCCACGTACCCATAGAGGAGCCAGTGTCGGCACATGCTATGAACAAACAACGAACAACAGCAACAAGAAAAATAAGTTGAACTTACCAGAGTAATGTCCAAGACCAAAAGAAATGACAAGTTCCATCTGAGCGAGAGGCAAATTTTAAGCAAGCTGTGCTCTGCATTGCATCAACATTAGGTATTGGCAGAGCGTGCTCTGATGAAAATATCTCACATGAATCAACGATTTGCACATATGACATACAGTACTGTCTGGTGCCAAAGAACTGGGAGGTCCGCCTCATAGCCTAGGGCGTTCTTATTGATATGTACAGCAGTCTATGCGCAGTGGATTCACCGCACATATAACGGTATGCTGTGTTTGGTGAAATTCCAGCCTGTCCGTTCTTCAGCACTACGTTCTCCGGCCCCCCAACAGTACTGTAGCCCAGTTTGAATGGTTCACGAATGGTTTCACGTCTTCAAATGGCTAACAATGAGAAGTGTGTTACTGAGTAAGGGTCATGGTGTGATGGAGGCAACCGTAATCAGCCACGGCAACTTACCATCCATCAAGCGAGTGTAGCTATCTAGTAATGTCTCCAAGTTCTCCAGGCCGCAGTGATGACGCCGCCATTGTGGGTAGTGTGCCTCCACTTCAACACCACCACCTTCAACATTACACAACAAATAACCAATATGATAATTAGACTGGAATGTAAGCATGTTCAAAGAGAATCGCTGAGAGAGAAAGAAAGAGAAAGACAAAGAGGGAGAGAGAGAGAGTTAGATAGAGAGAGAGAGAGTCCCAGTCCCAGTCAGTCACTGGCAAGCTGGAATAGAGAATGGCTAAGGACAAATGGGATAGGATGAGAATTGAGGCGTGTATAACCAAACGTATATACCGTAAAATCCCGCCAGAGCGCCCCTACCTCCTCGACGCATCAGGTGGGGAGGGGCGGATGGGCGAGTCCTACTTGCCACATTCAGTGCTACATGAAAAAGTACTCACCCTACGAAAACTGTCCGTGCATCTCGTACACCGACCAAAGGTCAAGAGCCAGGAGTCGTACAGACCCGTCTAAACTCCGGGTTTGTGCGATCCCTGGTCAAGAGGGTGGGCACTGTTGCGTACATTTCCAACGGGGTCGAGCACGCGTCTGCAGTACAGTACGGCATCACAGATTGTGATAGTCATACGAGGATACAACCAATCACGTCCCTGACAAGAAGTCAGGGAGGGGCGGATAGGAGAGACGGGGCGCTCTGGCGGGATTTTACGGTACATGCACTGATACAATAAACAGTCACAGTGGCATTTTCGAGATTACAGCACACTTTTGTTGGCAAATACATGTGGTACTGCATAAGCAATGGGGGAACAAACGCACCTTTTTGCTTGTGATGCTGGGCAGTGGTGGAGGAACGTGTATCGACAATGTGGCCACGGCGGTGGCGAGAGAGCGTGGCGTTGAGTATGGCCTCATCCTGCGAGCACCGGTGGTTGCTGGGACCACAGTGAGGCTGGCCGGAGCGCATTAGAACAGCCTGGAGACAACAGCCGTTCAAGATACATATACAATGCACACAAACAGATGTAAATACACCAGGATCAGCTCATGGAAATATATACAGTGAAACTTCAGTATAACGTACCACCAAGGGCCGCGAGAACCTGTACTTTAGAGCAAAGGCACTGTATATCCAAGGTCAATGACCGGTATTATAATGCAGGTTCTCAAAATAGTACTTTATATCCCACAGTACACTGTATGTGATATCGAGGGTACTTTAACATGAAGTCTCACTGTAATAGTGCACCCTGCTCAGTAATCACCTTTTGAGACTGATCTGTTACAAGATGGCTCACAAGGATGATGGTGGAACGGAAACACAAGAAATTGACTGGCCAGCACCAACAGGCCCGCAAGGAGCATGCTCCAGATAGCCAAGAAAAGGCAATGTAATGCCACAAAACCCACAGCTCATGCAGCTGATCACAGGGATGGCCTTCACAAGGTGGCAATAGTGGCAATACTGTAGGGTGTGAATAGACCGGGCCATGAAAACCAGAACCAAAGGACGTAACATAAAACAAATAACAGTATCGTCATATGCACCGTATCATACGCACCACAGCACAAAGGCAAGGTGGCACCCATACCGTATTCATCCACATACAATTGCATGTAAATGCCCTTATATGCGAAAAATGCTTTTTCTTCCTTTCGCCAGGAAACAAATATTCCGGATACAAGGGCATGTCTTTCAATACGAGTATTCAAGTCTTCAAACTACACTCTTGGGTCTCAAGTTTTTTCATGCCTTTATAATTATGTGGAGGTGCCCTTGTATTCGAATACAAGTGTGTGCCATTTTATACTCGTGAATACGGTAACTGCACACACTGCTACTGCCATACATTCAAGCGGAATGCGTACACACGAGTCAAAGAACCTGGCCAAGGAAATGCAAACGCATCCTTGTGTACAGAAACATTGTTCTAGTGTAACAACGGGACAAGAATATGCTGCAACCGTAGTTCTACAATCCAAGCATGCAGCTACAAATATGCCATACAATAAAGGACTGCTATGAATGATACGTTTGCACTGAAACTCACCCCGTTTGGTTCGTGGAAGTACGACACGACCGGAAATCGGCCGTGCTGGCGGAACTTGGAGGAGCGTTTCAAGAACTCATCTGATACGCTAGTAGGGACGATGACTTGCTCTGGGTAGGACGTACAAACCTGACAAGATGGAAATATAACGGAAAACAAATTTTCTTTACAAAGGGAGCTACTGTGACTGAAGACAGGACTTGTTTAAAAACTGTTGACAGGAAGCTATCCTTCATGAATAGTTGTCTTGGCTTAAGCCTGCACCTCCAAGTGCTTCAGGTCTAGAGGGGGCGGAGAGAGAGAGATTACTGAAAAGAAGGTGCAAGTACTGTACAAGTACACATGCACACATGAACGCATACACGCACACATGTCACAGACACACATATATACAGACAGACACACACAAACACACAGACACATACAGACACACACAGCACCCAAGAAAGAGTCCCCGGAACACTAAGCACACCTTAAAATCTTCGTTGATAGTGCTAACTCGGAGAGCATGCTTGCCACCCCATCGCTCAATCTCGCCCTCCAGCTTGACTCCATCGATTTCAGGTAGGGGCTTGCGTGGTCGAAAGAAGAATGGATACAGGTCTTCTTCCGAAGCTGAAAGAAGAGGGAAACAGAGTGAGAAACTCAGCCAGTGTTGCACTCTTATAGAATGCAAGTGTACATGTACATGTATGGCCCGTTGGTGATAGCGCAGTCTCATTGATGCTCCCCAGTCATGTTATAACTGCTCACCAACCACAGCTACTATAGGACAGGTGTACTAGTACAACTCACTATGGTTGCAAGCCTAAATCACACTGATAAAGTGACCAAACACAACTAACTTGTCCATGCCACAGTGAAGTAGACCTGTGTGTCTTTCGACTACTCATGTGGACATACACACAAGTCTCCAGTGTCCTCAAACTGCAGACAGGGCGCAATGTCGCCAAGACAGATGTTGCCTGATGATTGCTGGCTGGCATGAACTTCAGAACTGGAATCGACCTGTACATGCTCCCCTGAGTTTGCATTGCGGGCGGGCAAGGTGCAAAAACAGTACTGTGCATGAGGTGGACATGCAGCCCTAGCAAAAAGAAATCAAGTACGCCCCTTTCCAGACCACCAATTCCAGTCGGTGCAAATCAAGGGAGAGCGGTACTGCGGTAGTGTGCTACTGTGCTAGTGTAGTAGTACTGCCTTACCAGGTCGGGCTAGCGTGTCAACTGCATTGTACACGTCTACACAGTCCTCGGCACTGGTGAATTCCAGCTGATATGTTACCAGAGAGCGGCAGCGTAGCGTCAGGAAGCTGGGACCGGCTGTCACCCGTTTCTCAAAGGTGTTGATGTTGGAGTACAGCATCTACAATCAGGTAGAGAAGAAATACATAATAAGCAAAGAGGCACGTCGACAGGCCTTGCCAATGTTATTATCGTAGGGGCTACAAAGATCCCCGGTGCTGATACCACATTAGCAGATGCATGCACGAGGATGGCATAGACAACAAAGCTGCCTTCATCGTCATGTTTGGTGCTCGCATGGAGTAAGAATGGCCACCTGGGCGCCCTTGGTTAGCTTCTGCTAAAAAGTGGGCACAGGGGCAACCCTGGGCACCGCGGTAACGGCACTTCACAAGTATTGCATACAATTCAGCTGTGACTTGTTCTCCGCTAAATGGGAATCCCCCAAGGGCCGTGCTGCAGAGCATAGGGGCATAGGAAGCAGACTGCCACTGGTCCGGATGACTGTGATACCACCACACATGACAAACCCAGACATATAATAATAATATTACTACTTGTTTATCGTAGATGATATACAAGGAAGTTTTGTCAAAAGAATAAGTTGTTATCCTTGAACACTATTAAAAAGGTGAAATACATCTGAACTCTTTAGTACGTAATAATAACGTTAGTTTTGAATTACTTGTAACAAACTTTCACTATGAACTGTCCAACCTGCGATTGCCGATACTCATTTGGATTGGATTTCGGATTGGATTGGTTTATTTAATGTCGAATAACAAACAGGCAGTGTTACTTCCATGAACAACTTGTGTATCAGGAGCCAGAACTCTGTGTTTGAACTCTATGCATGATCCCATTTCAACTACCGCATACGTACTAGAACGCACTGATCCGCTGGTCTGGCAACCGCCAAACCTGCTCCTATGCCCCTCCGGACCAGTCATATGCAAAGACACGCCATATCCACAGGAGTTTAGTGTGCACTCAGATGCTGTATTTACTATTTGGGCACTGCGCACTGCACTCTAGATGGGATATTGTAGCCCAAATGTCAAAAGAGAAGAGCAAGGCACATACTCCAGCAAATACGGCTGACCCAGTTTACACATTCTCGCAGATTCCATATCACCGCTTGTGAGCCAAGGGTGCAGACCAAGCACGCAAAAATCTCGGCATCCGTGTTGTGTGTGGGGTCTTGGAGCTGTGGAAACTCAACAGTGCCCTGACCCTTGAGTTGGAAAATGTCACATTTTCCCTACAACAGCATTCTCCCAACGGCAGATGATATTGTTATCCTCGCACATATTATTATACGTGTGCAGTGCTACGAGTAAAGTATATTACAACCTACCCATAATTCAGTTGATCCAGCTGCAGCGTCCGGAATAAATATGAGGTGATGGGCAGTCAAGTGAATGTTGCCCTTTGTTGTTTCAGATTTCCCTCTTCGCAGAACAACGTTCTGAATGAATCTACGCTTCAGCTGTTCAGCGAACTCCATTTCTCTTGCCTCATGAGCTCTGCTCGGGAAAACTGAATCAAATCAACTACAACTTGTATGTTCGGCTACTTGTGAGGATGAAAAAGTCCAATGACTTCGAAAAGAAACCGTAGTTTAATATAGTACAGATCAGAGTGTAGTGGTATTCGAGTGGTACTGTAATCAGACGATCAAAATAATTGATTATGAACTCCAAAAAGCGAAGGCCGAACAAGGACCCCACAGTTTTCATGCATTTTTTGACGTACGTGTACACCATGGTACACGTTACTTCGTTTATGCATGACGTGCACGTGCAAGTAAGTAGCCGTGTACGTGTATGATTGTAGACTGGTACCGCGGCCGTAGATCTACCGGCGCACCGCGTAGATCAACAGGATCTAGGGCATAGGACTGGCAGCATCCACACGACTGCGGTTGGGAGAAGCACGGTGGCCAACGGAGGTTCATGTTGCAGGATCTAACCAAAGGCTAAGGAGACAACGTCAAGGGAGCGGATCCAGGACATGACGGAGGAGTAGGGTTCATGCCGCTTCTCCGAAACCATTATCATGATTATGGCCAAGGCGCTTCAGGAAAGCGTGGGCTACCTTGCCGCACCCACCAGATGCACTGAATACCAGTGGGAGAAAGGAAGCATGCTCCACCTCCCTGACGCGTTCTTCGTAATCGTAGGCCCTTCTCTTCTGCTGTTCGTGCTCATGGTGCTTGGCATAGGTGGACGCGGGAGTTGAGGAAGTGTTCGAGCGCGCATGAAGGGGGGCCGGGGGATCACGATCACATCTACAAAAAAAGGAGGTCTGTATAACCATGATAACTGTAAACCCGGTCTACAGTCCATTTCAAAACTATGACGCGTACCTAGGCAAAAACCGTTATGCCAGCATCTATACCACATAAAATCTGTGATCACTTTGTGCATAAATTTTTCCAAATTGGGCGTCTGTTATCCAATCCTTTAGAAACTATAATATAGTTATGATTATGAGAGTAATTGTGGAGCGATCCTGAGCAATATTCCGAAAACTATTCTCAAAAAGTTCCAGCCAAATTTGAAATATTTCAAAAACCCTACGCGTCTATAGTTTTGAAATGCACTGTACTGTAGACTGGACAAAAGCATGCAGGGATACCCCGGCCTCGCGCCACACCGGCACGTACCGGCACAGGCCGGGACAAGCTCGACTTCCTGCAAGGTGAGTTCTTGATACACTGAGTCAGTGCACTATGCACTACTGGCACTGCAGCAGGGACTGAGTAGTAAAAATATTTTACTACATTGTACTGCCTGATTTGTAGACAAAGTCAAAAGTTCTCAAAACAGAGAGGTATTTACTAGGTTCACTGCTGTCATTCGCACCTTTTTAACTTTTGCTGAGCCAGTATCCAGATTTACTCACTACAATAATCTGTTTTCTGATGATCGCTTACTGTGCGTGAAACTCGGAGCAAAAACACTTTTTCAAGGGCATCTTCTTATTATTGTTTGTATGTACTATGTGCATGTCAAAGTAGCGGCCTGGCATGTGCAGGGCAGTCCCCCCCCCCCCCCCACACACACCCATCTCCTCTTCACTAGCCGCAAAGCGGCGAGCGATCCCCCTTTATCCGGCGACCTTGATTATTCGGAGTTGACATGCATTTGTATCCCCGCGAAACAAATGTTTGTGTCCCACTTGCACTGATCCATGGTGCTTTATACATTTACTGAAGCTTCACCGTGTAGACTCGGATCTATTATGTAGCAGTTATTCTCTAGCCAACTTCAGTGGAATTAACAGCTTGTAGTCGCCTTGTAACATCCGTAGCACTGTGGTGGCTAGGCCCCGGCGGATAATGCTAGTTATTTTCGGCAATTATGCTACTAGCACTGCTAGTAAAAGTGGCACATTATGCTCGTTTTAATGCTCGTTATGCTCGTTATGCTCAATTTAATGCCACTTTATATGGGGTCAAAAAAGTGTCACGGATGGACTTCATGCAACTCCTTAAAAAAACTTACGGGATGTAATATTAATTTATTAACTTGGTGCGCTGTTTACCTGGTACACACTGTTCACCATGCAACACTAACGTTATAGGCTAGTATAGTGCAGGTAGAATACATTATACTTCATGATCACCACATGGCAACAGCATAGCAAGCCACTTTTGATACAATAACATGTATGCCCGCTGGGAGTGCATTAACACGTCTCAGTTATGGGTATTCTGATACATGTACAGTGGACATCTTGACAGGGTGCAAGCTGCAGCATGAACAATTGAGGCACACTTCTGTCTTTGGTGTCATAATTTGAATATTCAAACTAACTTCAACTGTGCCGCATTTATTTACAATTATAGTGGTTGAGTTTGGCGGAGTACTATGGAACACGAATTCAGAAACATTGTGCCAGCCATGATGGAATAATACGGCAGGCTGATTAAAATGTTTTGGTTTCCCAACCTGCACTCAACAAGTGCTGAAACTACTTCGAAGTAGATACACATAGCAACACACAGAGGACCCCATGTACATGTATTCAGTTACTAGTACTAGCTGCTTACTTCACACCTGCTTTGAGGAAAGACTCTACAACATTGGCTCTTCGAATGAGGACATCATTGGCTACAGCACCAGATAGCCCTGTTCCTGCCAGCTCCTTCTTATGGTCTGTAGCAGGGAGTAGTCCCTGGTCTGTAGTGTACTTCTCCCACGAAGCTGTTAGCGCGTGCTGGTGTAGCTGGCCTCGTGACTTTCGCTCTTTGGCCGTCTTGTGCGTTTGGCTCGAAATGTGTGATTTCACAATGCTGTTCTTCTGTCGAACTGTCTGGCTGCAAGCACTGCAGTAAATCTTCCCACTGGACACGGTCAAATATTCCCCTGCACGCGATGGTGGACGCTGACACGAGGTGTCAATGTGGAACTTCCACCGGCAATTCGCCCACGCTTAGCGACAGACTCCTTCCCACTTCTCTGGAAAGATCGTTTTCGGGAAATCGCTGCTCTGGCTGGTTCGGGAAGACGTTCACACGCTGTCCTGACCTCGTCCTCTTCGGACTCTGATTCTGAGGCGTCTTCATCGTCAAACTCGGAATCAAAGTGATCATCGCTACTGCTTACTAGATCAACAATATCTCTGGCTGCTTGCTCGGACATAGCCATTACGTGTGTTCTTCATCAGCTAACAAAGAATAATAAGCAAAAGTTGGTGGAAACAAAACGCTCCCATTCTCACCGCCTTCTCATGTTCACCCATCACAAGTTTTTTTCCCCAACGCTTGTGCCCGGACTCCCAGCCAGAGTCATACTCATAGATCTACTACAAGTAGTAGAGCCTAGACCATGTAGACTAGAGGGCCAGACATTGAAGATTTGAAGTGAACCAGTGTTGTCGGATGCGACTGACACAGTTCTATAATTAGTTTTGCAACAATATGCTAATTTTCGCAAGAATATGCTAGTTTTCTGCAAAATATTGCTGATTATGCTAGTGCAATGCTAGTTTCCAGAAAGTGCTGAATATGCTAGATATAATGCTAGCATTATCCGCCGGGGCCTAGTGGTGGCGCAGTGAGAATCTCTCTCTTTGGAAATATTCGGCATATAGCACCGAGATAAGGTCCCGGATGATAAACTAATGAAACTGTTACTTGATAATGAAGCTTGATAGTAAGCACTTATTCTATTCTCTCGTACCACTGACAACATGCGAATGAACGGTAGGCCTTGGCGGATAATGCCGGCAGAAAAATTGGCAGAATTCGGTACTTTTTCTGGTAAGTTTCATGCATGTTTGGTATGTGGATAAAGAAATGGAGCAGAATTCGAGGAATTGCCCGCCATAAGGTTTGTATGGTTCTGCCAATTTCGGTGCAAAAAAAGCAGAATCTGCCACCTTTTCGAGCATTATCCGCCAATAGGCCTTGGCGGATAATGCCGGCAGAAAAATTGGCAGAATTCGGTACTTTTTCTGGTAAGTTTCATGCATGTTTGGTATGTGGATAAAGAAATGGAGCAGAATTCGAGGAATTGCCCGCCATAAGGTTTGTATGGTTCTGCCAATTTCGGTGCAAAAAAAGCAGAATCTGCCACCTTTTCGAGCATTATCCGCCAAGGCCTATCCGCCAAGGCCTAATGAACGGTTCACTGATAAGTAAGTGACTCGGTGTTTGATAGTACACAGTCATGTATTCTATCTGAACACCATTGCCGGTATTTTTAAATACAAAAGTGGAACCTTGGTATAATAATATTATAGCAGTAATCACGTACTACAGTAAAACCTGGTGTAAGCGACCTCTCGTTTTAGCGACCACCTGCTCTTAACGACCGTTTTTTTCCATTCACGGACAGTTCTACACAGACACTGTGGGACCTGGTTCTAAAGCCCACCTGGCTTTAACGACCGCTTTTCCTTGCACCGTGGGGTGGTCGTTTAAACCAGGTTCTACTGTATGTCCATTGTAGCTGCATGCACAATTACATGGGCAGTTCGGAACTTACTTGAAGGTGTGCGCAGCAAGGCTTTAGTGAGGCATATAGCAGTTAGACACATATTATTGGCTGGTATCTATGATACAACTTTCTTTGCGGGCTTGAGGCCAGTGCTTAGTGCAATCGACATGTTCGGTTAACGTAGAGTAAATGGATCGGAGCTAGAGCTACGTGTGGCTCCCAGCTGCAGACCATCATGGGGCTTGCTTTGCAACAGCCAAGCATCCAAGCATGCATGCATAAACCATTCAAGAGTCAATGAAACTCTACACTGAATACAGTCGTGTACAATGTAGGTATAGTCCATTAACAGTGGGGACCATACATGTAATTACGACTAGAACTTGTGGAGCTGCTACTAAAGATGACCAACTTTATCTACTAAAGATTACCCTGTCCATAAATAGAATCATATTGGAAATATCATAATCGGATTTGCCCAAATGGAACATGACACGATGTATGAAGTGAACGGAATGGACAATCTGATATCTTTCTTCCACATCATTTGCCTCCTTTTTTTCTATCGACCCCGCTACTCTGTGCCCCTTCCCTCGCTTTCTCTTGCCTTTACTGTCTTCTGGCTTGTTGAGGCTAAGCGAATGCTAGGGGTGGATGTGTATTAACTAGTATTATGTCGATTTGTTGATTTTTGTAGTACCACACCC